AAAACAAGGAAACCAAAAAAAATATCAATCAGCACTGAACAGTATAAGCTATGGCTACTCGGTTCCCTTAAACTGAAAAACAGAAATGAGGGAAAAGTTATTAATTTCCAGTCATTCTGCAACAGTGGATTTGAACTTCAGTATTATTAAATCTAGACAAAGAGTAACAAAAACATTGACATCAGGTTTTTCTCTGAGATGCCTCTCTTTAAAGAATTTCTAATAACCAGTGGGGGAAATTCACTCTGAAGTGCTGAAAATGCATCCATTTATCAAATAAGCTCTGTAACATAGCTCAAAAAAGTGATTCATGTTAGGGTGAGGTCCAATATTAGAGATTTCTTTTGAATTCCGGACAGTTAAAGTTACAGCCAAAGGCCAAGATTTTCAAAAATTGATGCCTGAAGTTAGGTTTCTATCTCCTTATTTGATACATAAATAAGCAGCCTGACTTTCAGAAGTGCTGAATACCCAGCAGCCCCCAGTGAACTCCTGCAAAAACCAGTCCCTCCTCTGTTTCAGGTCTTTTCCTTCTTGCCTTTCATCTCTTTCCTGAAAGGCCAGACAGAGTGGGGGAAAAGAGACATGCAATAGAACTTAGGTACGAACTTTAGGAAGGAGAGATAGAGGGCATGACTGTCAGAGGCATGTGCAAACTTGCACAGCTTATTCGCATGTGCAGTTATCACAGCTGTGCACTCAAATAGGTAATTTCAAACAGTCATGTGCATCTCTGACCATTTCCTGTAGCAGTCACAGAGCATGCAAATTAGGAATGCAATTGCATGCACAAATATCTGATAACTAGGCCCCAAAACACAAACAAATTATGTGGGTTGGCAGAGGCTTCTGTGTAAGGGCTCCATCTTTATTATCCTCTGTTTCTTGGTTGGCAGCAACGCACAATTCTCTATATGGGATCATCCGAAACAGGGCTGGGGAAATGGAGGATAAAAGTCAATTTATTTTCCTTTTATCTTAAAAACGAAGGCAGAATCTATGAGATTTAGAGAAGCACAACACAGGGTGGGATCAGAAAATCCTCAACACCGATTCTTGCTCTTCCCACCAACTAAGTGAATGGCATTGAGCAAGTCACTTAACTTCTTTAGGATGTTCCTTTGCAAAATTGCTAATCCTACATTCCGGAGGTGTTGGGCAGATAATTTAGTGCTTTTCACACGAGAGCCATAGAAATGCATAGTTTTGTGATTATATTAGAAACCTATTTCGTTAAAGGTTTTTCAGATGATACCACATAAGAAGTGAATCTATTCATCCTTTGAGCAAGTTAATATTGTAGAATCTCACCTTTCCTAAAAGAATGTTTCTATAACAATGTAATACTGATAGTAAAATACTTGTTAAACTTTTGTGAAACCAGTCAGTAAAAAAAAATAGCCTTAAGCAGTTAGTGTTAAAAACCATACACACACACAGCACTAGAGAGAAGTCTTAGATTAGCTGAATTAATATTGACAAGGATTTGTTATGTAAACTTGACTGCTGCTTCAAATCAACAGATCATGTTCTGACATAATTTGAGAGATGTAAAAAAATCCAGGTACACTCCCAATGTAAAAAATGTAACAGAGGTCTCTAGGGTTGATGGGCAAAAAATATTTTAAATAAAGGAGAAATGGAAAGGAGTAATTCAGTCTGGAAACCTGGCATCCACTAAGAAACCATTTTTTTCCTCCAAACACTGATCATTTTAGCAGGGAATAAGAGTTATTGTCAAACAAATTTTCTTCCTACAGTCTAGAACCAGAAGAAGTTTCATTATACAAAGGTTCTTCCTCATCCCCCCCCCACCCCCACAATTGAGGAATGTTGATTCCAATCCTCACCCTCACAAAAATCTTGAAGTTGGTTTGCCTCCACGTTTATGCCTTAGCATCATGAGAAGAAAAAGCAAATTTTATCTGCTGCAGCTGAGCCAGCAGGAGAGGCCACAGAGCAACAAACATTGGTTTAATAAGTCTTGCAATAATAGTGCCACTTATTTCTTAATGACAGAATTATTATTGTACATTTTTCAAAGGTGCGCATCGCTATAGGAGAAATAGTAGTCTTTAAAAAGATATTTATAATACAGAGGCTATCTCCCCAGTGTCTGGAAGTAGGTCATATTTGGGCCCTAAATTACTGATAGCAAGTATCTGCTTCATAGGACTTGAACATTTATCAGACTTCTATCTAAAAGATTACAACCAAGTCTCAAAGATCAGGGGAGAGGAAATGTTCCCCAACTGGGCCAGGAGCAGTGTCTTAGTGGGGAAATGAGGCCACCTCCTCCCCAGCTTTTGGAAGGAAAAGAAAGAAAGAGAGTTTGGCAAAGCTATAAGCAACTGAAAGGAGGGTTTAATAATGGGTAGTGCCAGACCACCTTAAAAATAGGTGGTGCTACCAGCCCTGACTACAATATTTGCCCTCTTATGATTGCGAACTTTATGTCTTACTCTGCCAATGATTCAGAGAGAGAACTGGGCAGGGCTGTCATCTGTTCAATTTTATTCACCAATGGAAAGTACTCAACTGAAATGTGTTTTCAAGCCTTGGCCACTAAGTACACCTCTACCTCGATATAATGCTGTCCTCGGGAGCCAAAAAATCTTACCGCGTTATAGGTGAAACCGCATTATATTGAACTTGCTTTGATCCACTGGAGTGTGCAGCCCCGCCCCCCCCCGGAGCACTGCTTTACCGTGTTATATCCGAATTCGTGTTATATCGGGTCGCGTTATATCAAGGTACCGGTGTATGTAGAAAAAGCTTTTAGTCTCATGTTTTCAAAGGTTTTGATTTGTATAGTTCTCTAACCAAATAGTAGTGATCAGTCATGAGATTGGTTCGAACCAGATTCTAATAAAGACATAAGTCCATTTCTCCCTATTCTGAGAAACTGCTCAAAACTCAATACAAAATTCTGTGTAACTCACTAATTCTGTGTAATTCAGTGTGAATTCCCCTTCAGCTTCTTGCATACAATCCTGAGTCAAAATAGAATCTGGCTCATTTACGCACCAGTGCTCGGACAGCCTGGTCCTCCAGAACTCCCTCTGAACTTCTACACCTTAGAATTGAGCCATTTAGTACACAGTAAAGTGCATCCTCATTGAACTAGTTATTGATTCTAAGAAAATAAAGACATTTCTCTATAAAGAGAAAGCCAAGATAATGTATAAGTTCCACAGTAGTTTCTTTCTGATATTCAAATTAACCCCAGGGAAGGCTGAAACTAGGTTTGATATTTGCCTCTAACAGACTAGAGAGATTAGCTTGCTATTGTAGGGCACTTCTAAGTGCTCAGCTGAATACAATGGTTTGTTAGTACAGGGTTAATTACATTAAGTTTTCTAAAAAAGAACAAGGTAGGTCAAATTTTGAGCCTACCAGCCTTCAGAGGTTCTCTTTAAATTATTATATTACTGGTATCATCTATGCAAATAAATTCCCCGTGCATTTGAACAGAACTTGAAGTGGTATCGCTTTACTTGTCAAATAACAAGAATTTGTATTCAACTTCAGTAAGTCTTTTATACAGCTCCTAGGCACTGGAACAGACTTCAAGAGGTATGAAATTAACTGATCGGAGTTATGTGGAAGATTTTAAATCATTCATGTATGATGGATAACTGTTCCCATAGTTAAAATTATATTGTTTTAAATTATATCCTTGTTTTATGTTCATAGGTTTTATAGTTTTATATAGTGTAAAACTGCATGTATTAACAGTCTGCCATCTTTGCCAGACTTCTCCTGGAAAAGATGTTTATGATTGAACAATCCATTTCTGATAAAGGTTTTTTTTTTAAAAAAAAAGGGGTGGGGGGTTATATTTCCTTCCCAATGACTAAAAGTCATTAGCATTAATGGAAGTTACATGTACATAATCACCAATATAGGTAATATTCCCCCAGAGCGTGAATCTCACTTAAATTCATAAGCACATTAAGACCCAAGAACTAGAACACTATCACAAAATCCTGACCCTACTGAAATCAATGCAAAAGTACAAACCGTGGTCCCACTGAAGCCAAGTCTGAAGTTAGAATAGTCTTTGCAAATTTGTTGTATTTTGTGGCACAAACACATGTCTTGATCTTTCTCAGCAGCTACATCAGAGTCAGCAAATCTTGTCAGCCTGTATGTCATTCAGCAGTACAGAGAACAGTCTCTTTTATCAAAATTAATGCCACTGTATTAATCAAACCCTCTCCTTTGTTCCCTGTTGGGATTGTTCGTTAGCCTTCTGAAGGTTTAAAGTAGAAAGGCAGACGTGTAAGAACGAGGATTTGGGCGATGGAATACAAGACAGGCCAAGGCTCCAACGTATTTCAGAGGTCTCCTGTATGCTCAATCTAGTTATAAACCAAGGCCCTGATCCTGCAATCTGATCCATGCAGGCGACCCCAGTGCCCGGATCTGTGCAGATCACAGTCCAGCATTGGGACCCAAATGGGTTTTTTCAATTTTTAATATAGGTCTAAACTGCATAATTTGGATCCATTACTCTTTTTTTTAAATGTTTGGTTCCATTAATACTGCTTTGAGAACCTCTGCCAGTATGAGCTGGCCAAACCCCTGATCTTAAGGTTTATTTTATTTTAATGCCTTCAGTGTAAATTCGGTCTCTGGACACTGAAAGTAGTGGAAAGTCATATGAAAGGAGCTTTAGCCCTCAATTATAACCCTCTAACAGGATTAAGTGGAAAAAAAAACTATAACCATCTTTTAATGTATAAACTCCTTATTGTTGTTTGTAGTTGACAAATATCTATTTCATAGCAAAATAACATCACAGGAACAGCTGGATGGCAGTTTCAAGCTCAAACGAACCAGCAGCACATGCTGACAAGTCATCTCTGATTGCTTTTGAATGGCAGCACATGCAGATTTATTCCCTGCTATAAATTAGAACAATTATTTCTCTGCAGTTCACTTGTTATTTCAGACAGTGAATCCCACCACACATTGTGTTTTTTTTTAAAGGATATCTTCCCTTTCCTTGATGATAAGTTCATTCTGCTCCTCTAGTTGTCTGATCTTCTTCTCAAATGACTCCTGTTCTGCTCTCAGTCGCTCCTCTGTCTCTTCCTTTTCCTCACTTACCCTGAAACAATTAGAGAGAGACCAATGGCCCTGTCAGAGCAAAATAAAATACATGACCACGACCACAGTGCCTAATTTCCAATCTTTCCAGGGAAACTTGATCCGTCACCAATCCACCTCCTCCGCCCGTAACCAATTTAGGCCTCCATCGGGCAATTTCCCCCAACTTTGAAGTGAAATATACATGTGACTTTATACAAGAAAACTTTTCAAGTAGGTTAGTCTCATGGAGGGGCGGGGAAGAGGGCTGCATGTAAACTACCAAGCAAGGACCCAAAGCTTTGTGCAATTAGATCTGTGCAGACTGACCCTTGTGGCAGTAATGAAGCCATACTGAGGTGCATCCAAGAGTAAAGAGCCTACCCATACAGATCCAGTTGTAGGATCAGGGCCCAAGACAGAAAGAGTTTAAGAACATATTTCCATTTCCAATCTTACAAGCAAAACATTGTTTGTTTGCACATCTTTTCACCAAATAAAAAGTTTTATAGACACCAGATTTTCTTCTGTCAAATGCTTAGGTATTAATACATGAGCAATTGCTTTTGTCTTGGCCCCGAGGCCTTGTATGTTGTTGCTTGGTATAAATAACTGGACAGCAATTAAAACATGACAACATAAGCAAGGTTTGCAATGATACTTTATTTTTCATTTCAAAGCGAACTCCAAAGAGAAGGGGAAAACACCCAAATTATTCTGGCATCATGTAGGTTGAAGATTATTACCTACAGACTATCCCCAAACAACTACCGATGCTAAAAATGTGGCTTGGAACCCTTGGCTCTGTAAAAGCTCTCCAAAAAATGCTATTTGCTTTAGACGGATAAACAACATAAATAATGCTCTTCACTTCTGTTGTTCCTTTCGCTGAAGGATCTCAAAGTGTTTTACCAATGTTCCGACCCACAGCTGCCATGAGGAAGATAACGGGATCGAATCACAATGTGTAGAAAGGCCAAGAAACTGACCACGTTTCAGCTTACTTTACTTGGAGGAGGTGGTTTTGGGGCAAGAAGGAGGGCCTGTTCCTTGGGACATAGGTTGCCAGACTCACTGATGTCCCAAGATCTTCAGGGAAATCAGGAACAGGCTCTGTCATCCATGTAGCACCCTAACTCACCAATATGGGGCGTGAAGGTATTTCAACATTTCAGGGAGCAGCCACAAAAATGTTGATTGGGTCAGCATTCTCCAATACAGGAAAATCCACAGTGGGAGTGAGGCAGAATGCCATGGCCAGGAGACACCTGCCAGGCTCCAACCCCCCATCTTAACTATAGCTCAAACAAAGATTGTACAGAATGAAAAGTAGCTACCTGACAGGGCTGATGCTAAAGCTCAAATCCCTGCTCTCCAAACCCAAGGCCAGAAAATAAAAGTATAAGGGGATGATTTGACCGTGTACGTACACCACCTTGACAGTGGGGCAATCTGAGGCTCCAGAGCTAACCATTAAGTGCAGTTTTTTATATCATACATAGCAAGAGATGACTGTGGTGTCAAACCATTCCAGCAACAAAGGGCCTATGCCCATTTTCTTGTCCTACACAATTCTACACAGTGATGGTGTTCACCAATCTAGATCCACCACAAGGCTGGTTCACGTGGGGGATGCACACACCAGAGGAGGAATGCAATGAATGTGGAGAAAGCTACATGACCCTGAATCCACCCCCAGGTCCCATTAATATTTGTTCCTATGGCTGTGAATAAGTCAACATATGTCTGTCATCCAACCCTGCTCCCACAGAGAGCTCTAATGCAACTAGCTACAGGAGCAGCAAACATCACTTTAGGCTCAGGCTTTTGCAGCTCACCAGTATTAGCTTCTTCTTTCTGAACCTACAGCACTCATTTCAGCTGCAGTACCACACATGGCCTAGCTCCATACAGCCAGCAGTAGATACCTGCACTCCAAGGAGCATGTAGCTTTCTGGCAAGTAGGAAACAGGGAGGAGGAACCACAAAGCAAGAGAGGAGACGAGAACAAATAGAAAGGAAAGCAACTATACACACAAATGGGGGGGGGGGGGAGCAGAAAAGGTGATGAAAAAAAGGAACAGAAGAGAAAAAAGGTGACAGCACTTGCAATGGGGGGACATAAAGGACGATGATCATCTGCTAATTGCCAGGGTGATGCTACACCAAAAAAAGGTTGGACCAACTGATGTGAGCACAGGGCCACACTAATTTACAACAGAAGTATTCAAACTGGACAAAGCATTAGAAAATGCACTGTAGGGAATGATTCTGTAGAGGCCAAAGGGGATAGGAACCAAATCTAATGGGTTTTGCCCATCTCTACATTCTGTGCTTTTTTTATTTGTATTGTCTGCATCATGTTCACGTGCTGCACTGCACTTTGTATTTAACACACAGCACAATGCACAGGCAGTTCAGTCGTGCTCTTTGCTACACGTTGCCACGTATCTTGTGCATTAAATGACAGAGCAGTAAGCGATGTCACAAGATACGTGTCAGTATATGCTTATGTACCACAAAGCAAGAGACAGTCCATAAAGAGCACATTAGATACAGAAGACATTATTACTCACCAGAGGTAGCAAAAGGAAGTCAAGGAAAAGGAATACAAGTGCTCTGTCAGATTATGCTGGATTTATGTCACATCCTGTACAAGGCTCAATGAGATTATTATTTACTTATTGTACTGCCTTCCCTTGGAAATAACAAATGGTTTTTATTGGTATTAGGAAGGACTTTGCTGCCAAACTAAAAAAAAAACTTTATTCAGTTTGTAGTGTTTTGAAATAGGATTTTCACCAGTCTTTTCTTCTTACTGGGGTCAGAAAGACAGCTGAACCTGCAAAGGGCAACAACACTTCTATCATCCCACCTCCTAATATACATAGCTTCTGGACTCTGTTGCCATTGTTCATACGAGAAAATGCATTATTACTGGCTGAGAACAAAGACAATAAACCAATAAAACAATGTCAAGGCTTACTGCTACAACTGCAATCTGTTTTCTTGTGCAATTTACATTCAAACCCCTTGGCACCGGATTCAAAAAACCTTTGCTCAAGATACCTGTTAAATTTAGCTCAGACTTGGTAACGTTACCAACTACATAAGGTCCTGCACATTTTCTACTAAGGGTCTTGCAGAATGAAGGGGACCCTAAACCTTTGACTGCCAGAAGCTGGTTCTGAATGACTGAGTCCTCAGTCATCCAGTACCAGCTAGGCCCTGGAGTTTTTATAGCATGTTGGTGGGGTTGAGGAGCCCTCCAGGAAACAATCTATGAGAATTTAAGCCGTGTCTATTCATCACTTCTGTCAAACCCTCTTATCTTGTGCTCGGTCAGGAGGTACCTTTTGGAATGTGTTCACATACTTACCCAGTGCCTAGTACTTCTTAGGAGTGCCGTATTTTAGCAATACTAGCAGTACCTTTGCTAAGTTCATGTACCAGACAGTAAACTTGTAAGCATCTGCTTTAATACATTGCCTGACTTTGGTTCACAGTCACAGGTCTTGCACCAAGCCCAGTGCTTCAGGCTCTCTTTCTCTCTACCACATATAGCAGGGGTAGGCAACCTATGGCACGCGTGCTAAAGGCGGCACGCAAGTTCATTTTCAGTGGCACTCACACTGCCTGGGTCCTGGCCACCGGTTCGGGGGGCTCTGCATTTTAATTAATTTTAAATGAAGCTTCTTAAACATTTTAAAAACCTTATTTACTTTACAAACAACAATAGTTTAGTTATATATTATAGACTTCTAGAAAGAGACCTTCTAAAAACATTAAAATGTATTACTGGCACGCAAAACCTTAAATTAGAGTGAATAAATGAAGACTCGGCACACCACTTCTGAAAGGTTGCCGACCCCTGCCATATAGCATCTCTGGTTTTAGAGCCAAGATATCCATGCCCAACAACCCAATCCACATGCTTGGTGAACCACACGGAGAAAACAGATGAATATCTCAGACTCGGCTACCCTGTTTCCCCAGCTAGGAATCCTCATATCCCTTAATAAAGATGCAACAGGAGGAGGATTTCATCCTCAGGCTGTTCCTTAGCCCATAGGCACAGCAAACTCTCCATTCTGAGCTCCTTCACGTTCATTGATTGGGGACATGAATTCCATTATACAGTATCTGCCGAGTCAGGCAAGGGCATTCTACATTCTGTGACAATGCTATGCACATACAGAAATCTTCTGTCACCCTTTTCAGGTGTGTATAGTAACGTACCTCCATTTGGATGCAGACACTTCAATCTCATTTTGAGACGGCCAAACGGCCTCTGGACACTTGTGTCTGGGGGCACTATACCAGTGCTCTGCCTTTAACTGAAGGTTTAATAAAGAGTGAGGGGCTCGATTTTCTAGGGATGCCCTCTGTCAACTGAGAGAAGACAAACAGAAAGATCAGGTACTTGTCCTCCCAGTGCTGTGAGGAGTAGGACTGCTAATGAATGAGTCTGCATGGTATATGCATCTTATTTGATACTTCTACTCACCCAAAATAAAACTGAATTCCTTGGCTCCACACAAACTGTGAGGGCAGGGAAGAAGAATTTGGGGGGTGAGTGTAAAGACAGGAATCAGCAAATCTTGCTACCACAGCTGTGAACTACCGCTTGGCGTCAAACGCATCATATTCCTAGTGAGGATGCTCCCTATTCATGGAAGCTGTCCATCCTGGGAGTCCTCAAAGGATACAACCCCCATCCACTATACCAGACACTGAAGGAGAGTGGGCTCTGAAGACTCTTAGGCTAGGTCTATACTACACGCCTGAATCGGCGGGTAGAAATCGACCTCTCGGGGATCGATTTATCGCGTCCCGTCGGGACGCGACAATCGATCCCCGAATCGGCGCTCTTACTCCACCAGCGGAGGTGGGAGTAAGCGCCGCCGACAGAAAGCTGCAGAAGTCGATTTTGCTGCCGTCCTCACAACGGGGTAAGTTGGCTGCGATACGTCGAATTCAGCTACGCTATTCACGTAGCTGAATTTGCGTATCTTAAATCGA